GTTGGGATTTTTGGTGAGGTTGAAGGTTGAGGTATAGGTTGCTATGGTTTTGGGTCTTCAGGTGGGTCTTTCCTATGGGTTCTTTCGGTGGGTTTAGGGTTGAGGTATAGGTTGTTATGGTTGGGGTGCTAGGGGGGGTGCATGGTTAGAAGATGGAAATGGTCATTGCTAGCTCTTTCGGTGGTAGGGAACCCATCTCCGCCAGGGCCGTCATCATCATCGTCATCCATGATCACTATGATCATCGTATTGTCGCCATGATCATCACTGTCATCACCATCATCATCATCAGCAGCAGCATCGGATGGCTTGGGGTTGAGGTTGCACTGAGGGTGGCGCTTGGGGGTTTTGGGCTTGGGACTCAGGCTCAATCAGGCGGATTGAGCTTGCAGGTGCAGGCTTTCCGAGCTTGAAGGCCTGCTGAAGTTTGGCGTCTCGTTGTGTTTAGCGGGTGCACAGTCTTAGGCCTTAGGCTTCAGTCTGTGTCTTCGGGATTTCATCCCGCATTCCTCCTCGAATTCTCTACCGGCCCTCGCGACCGCCCAAACCACCCGTGCGCCCGACCCCTCGCCTCAGCTTGAGGTGCATGAAGGCAGCAAGCTGCCACCAGAAGACGACGACGTGCAACAGCGTGCTCAACCTAAGGCAGTTGCAAAAAAAGCTCATTCCTCATGCGGATTGCATCGGCGGTACGAAAGCCGCCAGTGACAGCAGGTGCTCCCATTTTCTGTCTGGCGCATCAATCGTCCCAGCCGCAGTCCTGGGGCAGGCACTGGACGTAGAATCTAAATTCGAACTCCTCATTCCCTGTTTGATGGCAGGTCTCTGCCTTCGGGGAACAAGGAAACGTAAGTTCAGTTTGCAGTGCCAGCAGAAGCTCTAGACGACACTAACGGCACCTCTGCAGCTGTAGGACCTTTCAAGCAGGGTCCCAGCTGGCTCTGGCTATGAGCCAAGATGTCGTATCTCGCAACCCCAAGCCGCAAACTCGACCATGTCCTCTCTCTGCTGCAAGAAAGAAAGACATGCCCCTGAAAAGAATGACACTGAAGCCCAACCTTGAACAACCCCAAACTCCAAATCCTAAGAACCCAGTGAAATACAGAGTTGCAAAGAGGCCTAGAGAACCTTCACAACCCGAGCCCCACAAAGACAACTGTAAAGCCCTAAGAAACCCCAAGGAACTCAACAAAAAAAAAAGCACACAAGCCTTCAGAACCCTAAATTCCTAAGAGCCTTGTGCCCCAAGAACCCGCAACCCCTACACTGTCCCTCAACCTTAAGGCTTTAAGAACCCCCTAAGCGAGGAGCCCCAGAGAATTCCTCTGGCCCCAAGCCTTACGGCCCGCCTTTTTGGAACCCTCGAGAGAACCCTTCTTGAGGGACCCCGAAACCCAAAAACCCAAGACCTACACTGATTAGACCCCCTACATCAACCCCAATCCTCAGCCCCCAATCCCCAACCCTAAACCCGAAACCCCAAAGTTTCAGGAATCCCCCCCCCCCTCTCCCCCGCCCCCCAAAAGCCGACCCAGCTTCGTTCGCCCCGAAGGTCTGCGAGGCGTCGGAGGAGCTGGGCGAAGGAAGCGCCAGGAGCCGCTTCAAGCAGCCATGGATCTCCTCCTGAGCTTCTCACGGTTTGGGGTTTATAGGGTTTAGGATGTAGGGTTTAGGGTTTAGGGTTTAGGATTTAGGGTTTAGGGTATAGGGTTTAGGGTTTAGGGTTTAGGATTTAGGAATTAGGGTTCGTCGTTTGGGGTTTAAGGCTTACGGCTTGCAGTAACCATGGATCTCCTCCTGAGACTCTGATGAAACATTACTGGTACTGAGATGGTGGATGGTTCTTATGATTTTTGATTTCCAGTAGTAGTGGAAGTAGTGGTAGTAGTAGTCGTCGTGGTAGTAGTTGGTGGTGGCGGTGGTTGGAGGAGGAGGAGCAGGAGGAGGAGGAGAAGGAGGAGGAGGAGGAGGGAGNNGAGGAGGAGGACGAGGAGGACAAGGACTAGGACCAGGATGAGGATTGGGATTCGGCTTGGCGTGTCTGTATCAGAATCAGTATTGGTCATCGTAGTACGGTTTTCCGAGGCATCATATCGTTTATACTAAGGGTTGAGGGCTTTGCTTTAGGGTTTATGGATTTCCTGGATACTTTTTGGTTGGCTAAGGGTTGAAAGCTTCGGGCTTATGGATGTCCTTCTTGGGTTTGGGCTATTGGTGGCTAGGGCTGTTAAGGTTTCCGTGGTGCATATTATATTAGGTCTTTAGTGGTTTTGGATTTGTGGCAACAGGGATCCTCAGAAGGCTGAGTGTGGGCTTTCTGGAGCTCACTATAGGCTTAAGTTTTCGGGATGTTCAGAGCGGAGGGATTGGAAGATTTAGGTGCTGTGGTTTTCGGGTCTTCGGGGGCGGGGGTGGGGGGGGGGGGTTACCGTTGACAGGTTTCCGGGCCTGGCCCGTGTTGCACGCCCAGTCCGAAGACTCTCAACTGCCCTGAAGCACGAGCTGTGGTTTGCTGGGCGGTTTGGAGCCCAACTTGTCAACATCCCCAGGGAGACGCACCAATAACAGCCCTGCAACACTTCGAGCCACGCCACGACCGTCTGTCGTCTGAGGAGGACATGGTTATCGTCACCTGAGATTTACTGCAGCCCCAGGTCGAACCCAAACACTCCCGCCATCTCCCGCCTCTGATGTGGAAGCCTGACCAATTACAAATACTGTTCCTTGGGGCTCCTCATTTTTGCTTATAGTACAAGAAGCCCCAAAACCGTCTTCGAATTATTAACCTCCGCCCCCCCCCCCTCCGCCAAAACAAGAGGCAGTGGAAAAATGCTCCAAGCCTCAGACAGAAAAAGGCCAGCCTCAACCCCCAACCACGAAGCCCTGAAGCACAAAAACCCTGAACCAACAACTTCCCCTCACCAAGACCCGAAGACCCAGCCCCCGAAGCTTCTGCAGACCCTGAACCCTGAACCCCGGTTTAGGGTTCAGGGCGTAGGGTTTAGGGTTTACCGCTCAAATCAAAGGAGCGACGTCGAGTCTAGCCTGGTGGCAGACATGCATCTCACAGCCCGCAGCACTCAGCACCGCCACCTGTGAGGCCGGGCAGAAGCCGTCCTGGCAGTTTAAGTTTGGTGCAGGGAGTTTTGTTTTGAGGGGAGCTGAAGCCGTTCGGATATTGGGCTCGGGGGCTTGAGACCGGCGTACCGAAGACCTGTACAAGACCCTAACACCACCGAAATTGAAGTCCTGCCTCTGGGGCCCACCAATGTCTGTTGGTTCGGCAGGGCCAATGAACGTACATTGCAGGACATGTGACATGCATCCACAACTTGACAACTTTCGGCCGCGTCTTGACATAGGCACGTATTGAACACAGTAGGTGTGGCGGCTGCCCATCTCTTTCGTGTTCCATGAAGCCTGAAGTACCTGAAACCTCGACCCTTAAGAGGCCTCAAGCATCCCAAAGCCTTGAACCCCAATTCATCCCGACACATTTCACTCCCTCAGCCCTAAACTCTACAAAGAGCCAACCTGAACCACTCCAAAAAACCTGAATAAACCCAAATCTTCAAACCCCAAAAAGCACGGCCAGTCATTCTCGGCGTGGAAGACATGAGTCGGGCGCGAAGGGCCCGGAGTTGGAAGCCTGGAACAAGACGGGGCCAAAAACCAAGAGCGACTCGAAGCATCTCGCAGTAGAGTACCACTCCATGTGCAGCTTAAGCCGAATTTGACACATTAGACCCAAACAGGGACTCAAGGGTGCAATGAGGCTCAATGAGGCCTGCAAACAAGATCGAGTCCGAGCTGGACAGCTCAGAAGATCTCGAAAATACTTTGCTTTGCACGGTCGGTTCGAGGTAGCTTATGGGTTGAGGTTTAGGGACCTCAAGCGTAGGATTTAGCCATGGCATTGTGGGCAGCATTCTGCCGCTAGACACTTGCAGCCCCACCTGGGCGCAGAGCAGCAGCTTACCTGAGCAGGCAAGCGGCGAGTGCTCAGCTGCTCAGAAGCTTGGACGTAACCTTCTGGGCCTGCGTCCGGGGTAGGAAGTTGGAATGGCTCACTCCGCTAAGCTTAACAGCGTGCGAAAGGAAGCGGGGCATCACATAACGTCCGTATGGTAACCCTGATACCAACCAGCTTCCTACTTACCTGATAGTAGCCCTGTGCTACCATTTGTTGATTTCTTCTGTGAAGCCCGGACTTAACTTCATACCCTACAAGGGTTTTGTAAGGCTTCTTACAGGATTCTATGAGGGTTCTGCAGTAAGAGCTTTACAAGGGGTTCAAGGCTCTACGGCTTCAGGGACGGTGTGGAAAGTACTACTCTCCCACAGCATCACATGGGGAGTAGAACGAAACATGTCAGCACGTTTTGGAATGGCATTTCAACTGCTGACATCCCAATTTCAGACATGCTCACATTTCCGCTGATGGGGCAAGCAACCACAACACGACAGTGAGAGCCACTGCTGCTACAGACACCAACCATGCCACCACCGTCTCTTTTGATCTTTTTCTTCTTGTCGACGTGCTGCTGAGCTGCCCAAGACATGGCATTCACCGTGGGAGCCAACAGCAGCGTCGGGCCCTGTGCTGTCGGAAGCTTTGGACATGCCGCGTCCAAAATCCTTTGTCTTCAGCCCTCACTTTTCCTTGGAGTCGGTGAAACTTTGCTTGACTTCCTGACACTCTAGGGTTTAGGGTAGCCTCCACTTCAGGGCCGAGAGCCCGGCGACCGGAAGCCAAGAATCAGACCGGGACCGACTCCCCTTGAAGCCTCAAGAGGGAAGCTTTAGCCTTCCCCATAAGCTCCGCGACCCCCTTGAACCACATCGTCGTGCTCTCATACCCCCAAGACCCCCGGACCACCTTTAGAGGAACCGGCTCTAGAAGGCCCACTGTAAGGTTTATTGATATTGAAAGGGTTCGATCACTGTTTGGAAACCCTCCGGCAGGGACCTTCCAGCGGCCCTCGGAGAGAAGCCAAAGTGCCTCGAGCTCAGCTTCACCCGGGGAAAAATCGCATAAAACCGAGGTCAGCCCTAAAGTTTTGGGTCTAGGAGGGCCTAGGACCTCGGAAGCCCCACCCTGAGCTCTGAAGGTCCAGGACGGAAGGTAAGGTTTGCTGGGGCTGGCACCACGCCACCTCCCCAGGAGAAGCCCAGGAGGACCTCGGCTACTCTTCCCGTAGTAGGCCTCAGGGTCTATAGGGCTGTACGGTTTAGGGCTTTACGATTTAGGGCTTCAGGGTTTAAGCCTTCGGATTAAGGGTTTCGGGCTGAGGGTTTGGGGTGTCATGCTTGGGACTTCGACGCTCTCGTTGCTTCGCCCGGGCGCATCGGGCTGGAAGTCTCGAATGGCCCGGCTCGTGGTCCAAAGGCCGTCCTTGATGGCGAACCAGACCAGGCCAGCCACCACAAGTCGCAGCAGCACCGGGATAGCCAGCAGCAACACCTGAAAGAGGCTTCATACAACAAAAAGATGGAAGGGCTGGACATTGAGATTCGCCAGCGTTGCTGGGGGCACGGCCAAGCGAACTAGCCAGGCAAAGGACTCGTCGACCTGCGCCACCAACTTGTCGTTGGATGCAGCTTCTGGTGTGAGCCAGAATATCACCTCGGAACAGACATGGTGCTCGGCCAAACAAACCCGTTCAAGAGCGACAGAGCTTCGGCATAGAGCACACTAACTGCGACAATGCACTCAACGCCAAAGTTTCTTTAAGAAAAAACATGTCGCACATGCAGGCTTAACGTCAGCTCGATGCCAAGTGAGATCGGTCCACTCAAGGTCAGGCTTGCTGGTGAAGGCGCGACGAGGAGCAACAGGCAGAATGGATTCAGACACCATCTACCTTGGAACAACTACCGCTCGCAATCCTTTGTCAAGCGGCTGCACAGTGATGGGCAACACGACTACGTGGAGTCTTCCCGGCTGATTTGGGAGTTGGCTAACAGGATTCTGTTTGTAGGTACCCTTACATAAGATACCCCTAAGCTTTAGACACCCATTTAATTTCAGTAAACTGTCAGCATCCAGACTTAATGGACCCCAATTAAAGCCCTGTTCTAACTAGCAAGACCCCTGTATTTGACACTGCATCCTCCACCTCGAAGTCTAGATCCCAAAGCTCAGCAAAGCTATGGCCTCACTGTTACGGATGCTTGCTCAGAGGGGAGCTTCTCCTTCGGCAGAGCCCGCCTCCTAAAGCCCTGAAGTTAGCAACGGTAGTGACAAGAGTTCTCAAAATGGTGCAGAAGACTATCCTGAGAGTCGTACTGACATTACCTATCTTGCTGATGTTATGCGGGGGCGGATGTTTATCACCTATGCCTATGCGCAGTCAGCAAATCCATGGCCAACTTTGACGCATGCCACAAAGCTTAACTTTAAAGCGACACCAGAAGCTTTAGCTCTGAGATGCATAAGGCCAGTACGGTCATCAAGAACCAGAGTAGGTCATCTTTCTTTCGGGAGCCGTACAAACTGCGCCCAAAAGCTCCGACCCCGACATGTCAGCAAAGCCGCAGCCCGAGGGAGGCATTGGGATGGTGGGCTCCAGAAACCTTGGCTTCAAGGTCCAAACTGAATGCCTTCAGGGCTACAGGCTGGAGTTTCACCCCGGATCCTTCCTTCATACTTCAGCTGGTGGCTTGGGCCTCCCCCCCACTATGTCTGGTGCCTTGCAGAGTGAAAAACTTCGGTAAACTGGATCACCATCGCTTCCTCTTCCTCTTCTTCTTCTGTTTCTCTTAACCGCTTAACCGCCCAGACACTCCACATCCGGCATGCGGTTGCGCAGGACGTCCAGAGGGCCAGGGCTCCACCCGCTGAGGACCTGCTCGCATGCGCGAGCGCTTGCGTTGGTCCTAAACCCACCTCCTGAAATCCTCTGACGTCTCACACCCGAAACATGCCGGTGCAAGCAAACCCTGCACTTTGACCAGCCTTCAAGCCACCTAAAGTCCAAACACTCTGAACTCCTGCGAGAACGGTTGGCTCCAAAGCGCCCTGAGCTTCCGGCCAAGACCCTCCGCCGCCGGCCGTCCGCCATCGCCGAGGACGGGTGCGTGAGCGGGGACAGTAGGGGTGAGTGAGCGGAGACAGTAGGGCCCTGGCTAAGGTTGGGCAGGGGTTAGGGTTTATTTGGTTCACAAGCCCCTGCTTGATGGTTTGCGGTGGCTTGGAGATGCTTGGACTGCGTCTGTCGGCCTCGGGGCCAGGAGTTGCAGCTGAAATGCATAGGCACCCCCGGGGTGAGGATGCTGGAGGCATAGGAAAGCCGTCAATTCTTCGTGGGGCATGGCGGAGTGGTATGAGCTGCAGTCCGGCTGGCCGGCGGCGAAATCTCACTGAAACTGCAAAGGCTGTATGGATTGGCAGCATAAGGCCAGCACTGCACCAAGTAGTCCTCGGCTGCGCAAAAAAGGTGTTAGCAGTGCTCTCAGACAGACTATAATATAGAGCATGTACAGAGAGAGAGAGAGAGAGA